GAGCCAGCCCGGCCAGGCTAAATATATCTTTATGTAATAAACACAAGACTTTAGTTCTGGGCAGGAAGACAGAGAGAATGGGGGAGGGATGTTTTTATAGAAAAAAGAACAAGTAGTAAAAGAGGGAAAAGGCACAGGAAAATCCAGGTGATAGATTTTTTAGAAAATTAGGCAGATAGCCCCGCGGAGTGTGGCTCAGCAGTTGAGCGTCCACCTGGGATCCAGGCGATCAGGGTTCGATTCCTGTCCGGGCACATGCCTGGGTTGCGGGATCAATCCCCATTCGGGGGCATGCAGGAGGCAGCTGATCAATGACTCATCATTGATGTTTCTATCTCTCCCTCCCCCTCTCCTTTCCTCTCTCTGAAATCAATAAAGATATATTAAAAAAAAAAAAATTAGGCAGATAGGTTTCAGAGAGTCACCATCTGTTGTGACTACTCTGAGACAAGTAACAGCTGCTCCTCGTGGTCTTTCCACTGCTCTGTTCAAACTCTTTGGATGGTTTTGCTGAATGGACTATCCCAGAGAATTTCCTCAGTGACTAGAGCACTGTTGCCTAGGGGCGAATTAAATTAACTTTCAGGGAGTTGCCACATAGCTGTTAGAAACCTAGCCTACTGGAAACTGGAGTCCTGACTGCTTTTTGGAAGAGTACTGATGAGATTAAAACCCTTTAAGGGCTTTCTTGAGAAGCTTGTGTAAGGTTTTTTTGACCAGGCTCATTTAGAAGGCTTTTAGTTGTAAATAATAAAAAATTCAGTTCTAGTTGGCTTGATGATTGGCACATACATCTGAATTCTAGAGAAAGCTAGACTTAGGTAAGGACTTACCTAATTAGCTCAGCAGTGTCACTGTGGAACCCTGATGACTTCTAGAAATACCTGCTTGACTCCAGAGTTGCTTCTTGCACAAGCACACCATGGCTTACAGCAGCTCCTCGTGTTTCTCCACCATTGAACAAGTCTGGCTGGAGCTGAGCTCCGATTGGACCAACCTGGACATGCACCCATCTCTAAACTGGTCTTTGCTCCCTGGGGAATTGTGCTGCTTGGACTGAATTGTGCCCATTGTAGAACACCTGGTTATGTGGTTGATTGAGTTGGGGCTAAACCTAGAAATGGATTCAATCCCATCCAAACTGCTTAAGAAATCTGGGCTCTTGTTATGACAGGAAGAGGAGATAGATGCTGGGAGACAAGCAGCAGTGGCCTCCACATCGGTTATACTGCCTTCAAATATATTGTCTATTTTATTGCTCTCTCAACCTCGGCCAGATGATTATTTGGTTGGGGTGGAGTAGGGCTCTCCTGTAAATTGCTGCCCACTAGATGCTAATACCCCCTCCCTCAATGTCAACAACCAAAAATGTCTCCAGACGTTGCCAGATGTCACGGGGCGGGGGGGGGCACATTGTCCCTGTTGAGAACCACTGGTCTAGAACAGTGGTCGTCAAACTTTGATCATACAGCCCTACGATTAAAATGTTTGTGCATATTCCCATGTATATTTATATTACTCTATTAGAAGGCATGCACAAAATAGAACTTAAATGGTAGAGATGATAGTGATCAATGTAATGAAATTCCATTTCTCTTTGTACTGTTTTCTCCCTCTGTCTGGTTCATTGTACACACCTCTTAAAGCATGTCCCCCACTTTGGATATTAGTGGTCTGAAATTAGTGGTCTGAAATATTGGTACCTCATCAGAATTAGTCTGTTTCCTAATGACCACTGTGTCACCACCACCACCCCTCTGCGAGGGGCAGAGTGTGCAGCAGGTGACAGTGACTGGTAGTGAGCATGGCTGCATCCTCAAAGAGTCCACCAACTCGTTGATAGTGGGACACTAGCCTGGTTAGGCAAGCACACTGTCCCGGAGGTCATCCTTTGATCAGTGGCATAGATTTGGATGACAGTTGGCCACATAAGGAGCGCAGCTGACTTGGGGACAAAGTAAAGGTGGTTGACCTGTGCCATATTCCAACTTGTTGACTTTCTGATGAAAGAATTTCCCAGGGAGCTGGTTTTTTGTTTTTTAGTGACATGGACTCATGTTATTGAACATAAGTAGGTTTCAGCTATTTCTTTATCTTACTCTGTAGCGTATAACTTTTCCAGTGTTTTAAAATATTATACTTTTAAAGCACATGGTTATAGTGATAGATAAGAGTAATTATTTTGTGTGACTAGACATGGTTAGGAAGTTATTTCTTTAACCTCTTTTTTTAAACACTCCCCATTATATCTGATTTTCTTTAGATACATTCTAGTGCTTAGAGCCAATTACACAGAACGGCATTCAGTTAGGCTCACAATTTTTCTTGATACAAAAGGACACTTTAGAGTTTTAAAGTTCTACCTGTCTGGTTAACGGTTTTCCATTTTGAGTATGAGTGAAAGTAGTGTAAATCAGCGAGCAAAGCTGTCTGCAATCCCTCTTCCCGTAATGCTCCTGAAGAGGACACCTGAGCACAGTGGGACGAACACAGGCTGTTGACATAGCGGGTCTGGATTTGGGTTTCAGCTTAGACTCTGAGCTGCTTTGTGACTGAGAAAGTGCATCATGTCATTGAGACCCAGGTTCCCATCTGTACAGTGAGGGCACTCCCACCCCACAGCCCCTGAGGGGTAAATGCCGGCTGGTTCACACACTGAGGCCTTCCCGGCGCCCCCACGCCCCGTTCTCCCCATCCCTGCCTTGCTTTTGTGGTTGATGGGCTTTGGCCCACAGTTCAGAAAACACTGTAGGTAAACAGCTTAATTTAGGCGTATGTCACCATGACTTTAAAGTGGGCTTACCTAGATAGTGCAGAATGGCTATTTTTCTCTCCTCCCCTCCCCACCCCTGAAATCTGTATGTTTTATTCTCTTTTTTGAAATTTAGATTCTTTAGGGTGACTTGAGGCTAAATAACAGTTCCTGCCTTGGGGGACTGTTGGAGGACTGGGTGCCTGGCACTAGACGATCATCCCCTCAGTGGTAGGCGTGCTAGCATTTCAGCCGATGGCCCCCAGCTCTTGTGACCAGGATTGACTTCTCTGTGGGCCTGCAGGCTCCTGGTCGTAAGTGCTGTGCAGGGCCTTGACTGCCATCCTCACTGGGAAGTGCTAGGCCCAGGTGCCTCCAGATTCCCAGCACCTGCGTCCGCTGGAGGAGGAAGTGCTCTGTGAGCCCGGACTGTCCTCCCTACCTCCTCTCATTTTCCCTCAGAGATGCTGGTGCTGTCATTTCTAGCGAGCCACCTGTTGTGCGCCAGGCACTACTGTGCCCTAGCTAGGTGCTCCTGAGACAGTCACTGTGATCATAGGCGGACAGAAAGTGCTGTCTTCAAACATTTAGATCCCTTACAAGACACTCTTCTTGAAACTTCAATTTAATCATTCCTTTGCTTAGCAAATACTGTGAACTTGGGAGTCCTGATGCTGGGCCTACAGATGGGAACGAGACATGTCCTGGGCCTTCATCTTTTCCAAAGAGAAGGACCCGCGTCACTGGTGGTTTGGGATGGCTTTTGATGGTACATGACATGGTTAATTATCGCCAGCCCATCAAGCACGCAGCGTCATAGGTATTATTGTTTAAGAAAAGATGGAAGGAGATATTTTAGGATAAGTGAGTTGTTTAGAAGAAAACTACACAAATTTTTAATTCAGGTAATATTTTGATATGAAAAAATTGTAAAGGAGAGCCCCGATTCAGAGAGAGAGTATGATTAATGAAAACACAGGATGAATCGACTAGTTCTGACCTCAAGGGGGAACACAAGGACAGTCATTAAAAGTAAGCTTTGCGCTGGCTTGTGCGGCTCAGTGGTTAGAGCATCGGCCGCAGACTGAAGGGTCTCAGGTTCGATTGTGGCCAAGGGCACGTACCTTAGTTGTGGGCTCGATCCCCAGGCCTGGTCACAGGGCTCATGCAGGAGGCAGCCATTGATGTGCCTCTCACATCGGTGTTTCTCTCTCTCTCTGTCCCTCCACTCTCTGAAAAGCAATGGAAAAAATATATCCTTGGGTGAGGATTAAAAAGGAAAAGTCAGGCCCGGCCGGGCGTGGCTCAGTGGTTGAGCATCGACCTGAGATCCAGGAGATCGGGGTTCGATTCCCGGTCAGGGCACATGCTCGTGTTGTGGGCTGCAGCTGATCAATGACTCTCTCATCATTGATGTTTCTATCTCCCTCTCTCCCTCTCCTTTCCTCTCTCTGAAATCAATAAAGATATATTTAAAAAAAAAAAAGGAAAAGTCAGCTTTGGTTTAACTTTCAGTGGAGTCCAAGTTAATTAGATTTTAATAAAAGTCTGTTGTAGCAAATGTTGATTGTCTTTTCTCTTTTTTATATCTTTATTGATTTCAGAGAGAGGAAGGGAGAGGGAGGGAGGGAGAGAGAGAAGCATCAGTGATGAGAGTCATTGATCCGCTGCCTCCTGCACACCCCCGACTGGGGATCGAGTCCAAAACCTGGGCATGTGCCCTGACCAGGAATCACACTGTGATCTCTTGGATCCTAGGTCGATGCTCAACCGCTGAGCCACATCGGCTGGGCTAAATGTTGTTCAAATAGCATTACCTAAATAACTGTTTGACTGTGAAAAGATGCATTTTCGAGAATATTCATTGCAACGGGGTAGTGGAATTGGAAATGACATGAGTGTCTAACAGTAGGAGATTGGATAAAATATTATACATCAGTACAGAGGAATAGTATGCAGCTATTACAAAGGATGTAAGTGGTGTATATACACACACAATATCTAGGTGACACTCACAATATCTAGGTAACAGGAAATAAAGTGAGATTAAAAAGCCGGTCATGAAAAGCCCTAAAGGATGTGCTAACGTGTTAACAATGGTTAGCTCTTTAACTGCTGGGATTTGAACTCTTAATTTTTTACCTCCCCATGTGTTTTAATTAAGAAATGAACATGGGTCCTCTTTTTTTAATAAAGAAAAGATCAGTTTCACATTTCGCTTGTGTAGAGAATGGTATGGCGTCTCTGATCCTGTTGTGATTTCTTTTTTCACAGATGCGGGGGCACTGTTGGTGCTATTTTCACTTGTCCACTCGAAGTCATTAAGACAAGGTTGCAGTCTTCAAAATTAACTCTTCGGACAGTCTATTATCCTCAGGTCCATCTGGGGACCATTAGTGGAGCTGGAGTGGTGAGACCAACGTCAGTGACACCTGGACTTTTACAGGTTCTGAAGTAAGTTCAGTCCCCATTCTGGACTCTGGCCACACCCCTGCCCCCACTATCAATACAGGATGTGTATTAAGCACATCAGATAGGATGTTCTGTTTGCACAGCCTCTGTCCAAACCTAAGAATTAGGTTACTGTACCAATACCTTTGAACTCTGACCTTGCTCCGTTGGCGGCAGGGCGCCCACTTTGCATGTGGTCATCATCCAAGGACAGTTAGAGCAAACCTAACAAAGCAAACCAGAAAACCCTGTTCAAATTGTTGCATCAAAGTGTTCTTGCTCATACTCTTTTGAGGGCTAGCAGAAAGCAATGGGGTAGTAAAATGAAATTACAATTTTTAAATCTCACAAGAAGGGTTTTGAGTATTTTAAGAGGAAGTAATCTGGAAACTATTTTAATTTTTTACTACTTGGAAATAGTTATACATTTATAGAAAAGTCTCAATATATATTTAGTAAAGTGGTTTTAAAATATTTTGTTTCATACCTAGGCTACCTGCCTAATTTATTATTCTTATTGCATTAAAAATGTCTCATTTGCTTATGAAGTAGCTAAATATTCATAAGTTGAATTTGACTTATTGGTATCTATGCTTAAGGCAGAATCAGAAATTCAGAAGAGCCCTTGACAATCTCTGAATTTTACCTGGGGCCCTGTGCTTTAAGAGATGTTCTGTAACGATAGTTGAATTGAAATACACCTGATATTCAAATCTCTGAAACTGACCACTGGAATGGGGTGTGTTCAAGAAAGACATTGCCGTTTACCAGTGTAGTTGCTTAGCTGAGAAATGTTAGGAACAGAGTCCATGAAGTAGAAACGCTCTGTCTGAACAACCGCACCACATACCACTTTGGACAGAGTTCAGTCACATTTCAATAAGGCAGAATGAGTTGGAAAGCACTTACTTTATTTTTGGGTATGTTTTGTTTGTAAAGCCTGCTTACCAGTCACCCAGGCATCAGTGCCAAACGTGGACGAGGTTGCATCCAAGCTTAGTTATTGAGCAAAACTGAACGCGAGACCAGCTGCTGAGGGCGAGGTCCCATGTGGGAGAATCGGAAGCCCAGCCAGAGAAAGAGGCTGGCACCCAACACCCCAGATTCCCACTTTTCACCTTAAACGCTGAGAAGGAGCAGAGGCAGAGGCAGCAGGTCAGGGACGGGCCCAGGAGACAGGGACAGGGACACAGCTGGGAGGCCCACTCTGATCTCAGGAAAGAGCAAGACAGCCCCATATCCTCAAGAAGACATGGCTGTGAAATGTCCCCATCCTGGTTTGCCTTTTTATATGTGTGGGCAGTGGCAGTGTCTCAAGTGACACCTTCTGAGGAACATGAAGTGCTTTGGACATAATGAAACAGACAGGTAATTTGCCAACTTGACTAACATCCTACATGAACTTCCTCTTACGTGCTTGCAGATAACTCATGACTAATGGGTTTACAGATTTGCTGTAACTGGGACACTGTTACCCAAAAGTTGTGGGTGTCAGTGGGCCAAGCCCGTGGGTGAATGAGACTGTTTTTGTAGTTCAGGTTTTTGAGGTTGCATGTTCTACATCTCTGATGTCTCTCTAGCTCCAATAAATCGCGCGAGAGAGAGAGAGCACAAGAGTGAGCAAGCACACGCTCCTCACTGGTCTGGCCTGAGACCTGCTCCCCTCCCCGTCCTCTGTCTGATGCTCACTTAGATCCCTTGGGGACTGCTTTCTCCTGTCTGTGCAGCCTGCCAGTCTCCACACAGCTGTCACTCCTCCCATTGCTTCTCTGATGTTTCCCCTCCCACACCCCTTCAGCTGCCCCTTTAAAAAGCCAGGAACATTGGCGCATTCTGCCTTAGGGCCCGGGTACTGGACGTTATCCGCATGGCTGGCTCCTAGTTATCACCTTTGCAGGAAGGCTTTGCAGTGACCGTGCTATTTAAAACTGAGCCTGCCCTCGTGCTCCATCCCTCCATCCTGCCTTATTTTTATCCCCCGTACTCACCTCAGTCCAACATAGAGTGTAGCTTACTTGTTTGTATTGTTTATTTTCTCCCTGCCTCCACTAGAATGGAAATTCCTCAGAGGCAGGGACTTGATTTTTTTTTTTATCACCGAGGTGTCCCCAACCACCTAGAATGCTGCCTGTCACATAGTAAGCATTCAGTACAAATAGAATTAATGAATTAATTTTGGCACATCAGTAAGATACTGCATATAAAGAGCTCCACATCCCCCCTGCACCCTTCATGTAAATATGCACTTCCTGTACTTTTTAAATGTAAAATTTACAACTGAGTTTCTTGGAAGTCAAGGCAGAAAGGAGACTATCATGTTACACAGTTCTCTTCTAAAGAAAGCACACTAACTCTTCAGGGGAAATGCATGTCTTCCTGCTAATAAGTTCTAATAATGGTCTGTTACACTCCCATATAGACACTGCTGACAGGAGCAGCATTATCTGAGGGTGGGCTGGCAGAAGGTGACTGCTTTCCCTGTCCAGCGTGACTCAGTGGTTGAGTATCGACCCATGAACCAGGACGTCACGGTTAGATTCCCGGTCAGGGCACATGCCTGGGATGCAGGATTGATCCTCAATTGGAGGCATGCAGGACACAGCTGATCAGGGACTGTCTCTTATCATTGATGTTTCTATCTCTCCCTCTCCCTCTCTGAGAAATGTGTGTGTGTGTATATAAAAAAGGTGACCGCTTTGCACTCTGCCATCACCCTGGTTAAAGCCACCTCTCTTCTCTCCCTGGGTTATTACTAGATTGCTTTCTAATTCTTCCAATAACGATCCCTAGTAAGGGCAGAGATGATGGTTCAGTTGCTTAGTATTGGTCTTACTCTTTCAGGAATCACTACTTTAAAAGGCTTAACAGGCAACAGAACTTGTTTACAGGAAGTTTCTTTTTCAAAATGGAAATTGGCATTTGCTGGCGTCACAGGTACAGAGTACCTGTTACAGAGTACGTTTTCTCCATTGCAGCACCAAAAGCCTTTATATTTTGAGTGAGGTTACTTAAAAAGGCTCTCACTGTTAAATTTGCCAAAGGGGAAGAATTTATCAGTTTATTCCAGGTATCTGTCTTAAAAAGTCTTATGCTTAATCTTTTTTTAAAATTTAAATCAGAGCTCCTCTTATTCTTTACTCAGGTAATTTTTACTCAGATGCCTTTTTAATCTGAAAAGTAATATATTAGTGATCTAGTTATGTTATATAAATAAAACTGGTGTGTTCAGATGAGATCTTTGTCTTGGATCGTGATCTAAAACTAGTGAAGATGAAACGCTCCAAATAAGGCCCTTGTTTTCTTTTTGCATTTCTTTCCTAAATGAATGTTTCTACAACTGTGGGAAAATGAGTCTGGATCCTAACATGCTTTATTTTGAGGCTGAAGTGTACCATTTATAGTAGGCACTTGATTGTTCCAGAAGAGCTTTGTACACAGCCAGCAAGGTTAGAAGTTTGAATTATGTAACAGATTTGACTTCTTGCCCACTGTTAATATGCGTCACCGGGGGGACAGTCCTTGTGCAGTTCCGAAGAGGCCCGAGTCCCTTGAGGATGAGTGTTCCTCCTGCATTATAGATGAGAGGCCCAGGCCTTCTGGAGCCAGATAGTCCTGGAATTGTGTCTAAATGACCTCTGGGCTGGCCGCACAGTGTACACTGAGGGGGACAGATAGAATCTAAACTTGAAACATTTTGAATAGACCATTTGAAAATCTTTTACATACTATAAGGTGCAGGTCACTTCAAGGTGGTGTTTAAGAAAAGATTTTGTTTGGAGAACTTGGCTTCTTATCAGTCCTGTTGTAAGAAAGAACAGAAGCAAAGTATTTAAAGTTGGAAACACCGAATTCTCATCTTCTGTTAAGGGCCGAATTACTTGTTTTGGGCCAGTGTGAAAATTCACTGGAACTCTATGACCTTCATCTGGCTGCTTAAATTTAGAGAGACCCAAGAACTGTCTTTGCCCCAAGCCCTTGTTCCCATAACTTTTGGGCTAGAATCATGTCCCTGTGTCAGACCCTTTCTCAGTGCTTGTTGTCCCTACAGGATTTCCGTGTATAAACCCTGGAGGTCTTGCTCCTGTGTGAACAGGAAAGAGGCTTCTCGCAAACATGTGAGACTGATGCTTCTGAAGCAGTTTTTCACTGTGTTAATGTGGCTGCATTCTTCAGCCTTCCCGATTCTGTATTGTGATTTAATCAGATAAAGCCTGGGGCTTGCAAACAACCTATTCTTGGCTAAAGGGGAGGCTCACTCACAGCCTGTTTTGTATAAGCCTTGCCTAAGGATTTGAAAGATACCACCTTTTTTAAAATTTTTATTTTTTATTCAGGTCGATCTTGGAGAAGGAGGGACCAAAGTCACTGTTTAGAGGCTTGGGTCCAAATTTGGTTGGAGTTGCACCATCAAGGTAAGCTTTAAATTTTCAGCCGGGTCCCTGTATACCTGTGTAATGTACCGAGGCCTTTTTCACAGGAGAGCCATACTGCTAGATGGCCAGTTTCTTCTGTGCAGGATTTGCCTGAATACATCTGACAGAAATAGTGATAGCCGTTGGTGTGTCTTTAGTGCATCTGTGAGAAAGCGATTCTAGTTATTTTATTACATTGAAAACTAGTCTGCTCTCACCCCTGGGATCTTCTCTAAGTAAGTGTGGTATGTGTTCAGCAGCATTGCCCCCCACCCCCAGGCCCCGGGTTACACATACTAATTTTAGTGTAAGGCAGGACACGTGTGGTATATTTTAGAAATACTTCAAATTTTAAGAGTTACAGTATATGTTGGTGCCTAACGGATTGGCATTTATCCAGAATGAAGACTACAGTGGACTTTGTATGTATATTACCAAAATCTTATTTTCCTCAATTCTTTTGGGCTCTTCCCATCACTACTGAATACTTTTTAGAGAGATGAGCAGCACCTTCCTCAGGGAGCCTGCAGTGGGTCTGGGTTTAGCACAGATGAGGTCAAGCTTTTGGTTACATGTTAACTTCTTGCCCGTATTATTTTCCTGAATTTTTCAGAGGTTGCAGAGGGACGTACATTTACAGTGCCGTGCCGGTGTCTTTATAGCGTTCTCTCTTTGTTCTAACAGGGCTGTGTACTTTGCATGTTACTCCAAAGCCAAAGAGCAGTTCAATGGCATTTTTGTGCCTAATAGCAATACTGTGCACATTTTCTCAGCTGGCTCTGCAGGTACGTTACCCCCGTGGTGGAGAGAAGCGTCTCACCTTCCAAAAGCATGTGTTGTGCCTTTTACGGGATTAGAAATTTGCTCTCTGCTTCTTTTGCATCTAAAATCATTTTTCTAATGCTTTATGTTAGAGCTGATAAAATACGAGTATTTAGGATCAGTTTTTCACTTGGTTCCTGTTTCTTTAACCACTAAAGCTTTGTATTCTTCCTCAGAATGTACGTGTTCCATGCATGCTAGTTGTTGGTGCAGTGCTTGTTTTCAAGGAATTTTCATGTGGTTTTCATGGCTATTTCATTATGTTACATTCTAAAATTTGACCTTTTTTTTTTTTCTTTTCATGACACTCATGGTGTCCAGCACACCCTGTGTACATTTGGCACTTTTGTCCTTACCACTAGGTTCTATGATGAGGGTTGGGGGCTGGTGGGTTTTTAGGGGGCGGTGACAGATCAGAGAGCGTCTTTTCAGGGAGTCATCCCACTTACTGTGGGAAATTTATAACAGGATTTTCCCCCCAGGAAATATTTGGCAGAAGAACCCAAAAACTCAGCATGGACTTGTAGATTGCTGAGAGAAGGCTTTGTCTTTTTATAGATAAGGTTTATGTCTGTTTAACTAGAAAGGTATTACATTGGCAGTTTGTGAAAAATTTCCGCCTTCTGCCAGGCTGTAAAGTGTATGCACAAGTTCTGTCTCTTACGACAAATAAAAGTACTAGTAACACATCTGAATAGCTATAGGTAATTTCTGGACCCCAGTAGAAAATAATGTTAAACAAGAAAGGTGTGTGTGCTGAGTATGGAGCCCTGAGGAGCAAGTGTAGTGTCCACTTCTGAGGCCGATAGTGGGTTAGCTGTGACCTAAATACTGGTCATCAGATGTGCAGCTTCTGCAAAGTTCACTTAGAAGAACCCTTGCTACCTAAAGAGGACCTGGAGGCAGTTTTAATCTCTCTCTAGGTTCCTGGTATCTGACTGATGTGCTTAGGACTGGGGAGGGGAGAGGCATTTGAAGAGGGTCACTATGGGGGGCTGATGCCATGACTCTGCCTTGTTCTGGCTGGTCTGGAATGATTAGTGTTAAGATGGGAAAACTTACTAACAAATGGTTCCTGTAAGCAGATCAGTGTTAAAACTTCAGTTTCCTGAAATGATTAGTCAGGTATTAAAATGCCTATGTTTGGATTCACTTAAATGGAGATTTAGTTTCTACTATTTTAAGTTTGATATAAGGTAACCTTTTGGATTAGGACAGCAACTTTTAAAAACAAATTATTTGTGGACCTGACACAAATTGAGTTTTAGAATGGTTTCATATTTACCTTAGGAATCACATTGACAGAAATACCAACAGCACCACCTAGAGGCTGGGAAACACTAGACGGCTCTAGAAACGAGAGATTTTTTTTAGGTCCAACATACCAAGAGAAGTTACATTTTAGGGGACTGGAGCTTCTGTCTGCAGTACAGAACTGTAGCTGCTTCCTACTATCCATTTTTACTATTAAACCATTGAAAGCCTGATTTCAACATTTATCAGATGGAATAGACAACTTTAATCAGCATTGGTTGTGTTCAGTGATGACACTGTCTATTGTTTTTTTCTTCCAGCTTTTGTCACAAATTCCTTAATGAATCCTATATGGATGGTTAAAACCCGGATGCAGCTAGAACGGAAGTAAGTTATTAAGTGTTGCTTCCTCGATAGAAGACTTCTTGGGGATGTCCCCCCCATTCCTGTCTTTTGAATGCAGTGTACAGACAGACTCCTTGTTCTTTTTGAATGTGAGCCTATGTAGCAGCTTCTTTAGTTTGAAGATTCGTGCTGTCAAGCATTGTGGGGGACAAGGGCCAACAGAAATGGTTGGAGGTTCGCTCACTGTGGCCCCTGGTCTGCAGTGCCGACCTTCACAGACGGTCGGGGGTCTCTGCTCTGGGCCAACCCCACGCCAGCTGCAGCGCTGTGGGCTCTCCCCAGGTGCTTCTCTTTCAAGTGGGAAGATGGCAGTGAGGGCAGAGCAGCAGATGCCATCAGGCCCCTCGGGGCCATTTGAACCCCAAGGCCCTCAGTGCGTGGGTTTCTGCCCTAAAACTCTTCCACAGGCTGCAGATTCTTTGGTAGTTGGTGAAGCCCGCAGGCCCTGCTTGGTTGTGCTAACACCAACCTATCTTTCCAGCTTCTAATCAGCATCCTCTCCTGGAAATCTTAAGTAGCCACTTCCAATTCCAGGTGTGCACAGTGTCCTCGTAACCTTAGCGGTGGATAAGTGCATGAGTCGGCTGAGAGCCTCCGTGTGCATCCTTTTAAATCTACCTGGTAGTGATCTGTGCTCAGGAGATTGTAAAGCTTTCTTCAGGTCAGCTCTGTTAACATGTCCCTCAACAGTGAGTGTTTTTGCACGCTTCCTGTACACTAGTCACCGGGGAGACAGGGAATAAGACACAGGCCCTGCCTTCCATAAACTCAGCTTTACAGAAAAGAAAATCACAGTCTGATGGATTAAGGGTCCTAAGTACTGCAGGACCCTGTAGGGTCCCTAATGCAGTCTAGGCAGGATGGACAGAGAAGGGCAGCCAGGGGCCTCCTGTAGCTACAGCGTCCACCTTGCCATCTGAGAAACAGCCGGCAGTAAAGAGGGCTGCAGGCAGAGAGAACTGTGTGCACAGAACATCTGGAAGCAGAAAAGCATCGTTAATTTTGGGGAACTAGAAGAAGGGAAGTGTGGTCAGAGTGTACCACATGCGAATGTTCTGGAGCAGGAGGGAACTATGGAAAGATAAGGCTGGAGAAACATCCTTAAAAACCTGGGGAAGGAATTTGGAGTTGGACCTGGGCTTTATTTGGAGGGCAGTGGAGAGTCATTAAGAGAAATTTTTGGCAGCCTGGGGCACTTTGCCCCCAGGGGACATTTGGCAATGTCTGGAGATATATTTAGTTGTCACAGCTTAGGTGGGATACTGCTGACATGTGGTGGGTAGAGGCCAGGGTCCTATAGTGCAGAGGACAGCCCCCACAACAGAATTATCTGGCCCAAAATGTATTTCTCAGGCTGCATAGAGGGTGGTAAGCAGGGAGTGGCCTGTTTGGATTTGTGTTAGAAAAGGTCACCCCAGCTCGGGTGTAGAGAATGGCCTGGGGGAAACACAGTGGAGAAGGCCCGTCCAGACAGATGGGAGCAGGAAGGGTCTCTGACTGTGACCAAGGCAAATCTGTCAGGTCCTGGGATTCAGTTTGTGTCCAGGCAGTTCATGAAAACTGCGTCACCAGGAGGAGCACCCAGCCTGAGGTTTTTGCTAAGTTGTGTAGTCTGTAACGTTTGTGATTTTATAAATTTAGAAGTGATGGAGTCAGAGACAAGCGATGAGAAAGGGCATCCTTTCACTCACCCCCTTGTTGAAGGTTGGTGGTTTTCCTTCAGTATTTTCTTAGAACACCTTTGTATCGTAACTAACTACTCTTTACACATCAGCCTGTCCCCCTTCCGCTTCCAGCACTTCCCGTGTCTTACTGCCTTCACAGCAGTTTCAGCCTGGCACTCGTGCCGTAGTTTACTTATCTCTGCCTGTTTTAGGTGTTTGGATGGTTTTGATTATATTTTCTGTGTGATGAATGTCTTTCTCCATGTAGCTCTTTCCAAAATCATGCCAGAGGCTGTGAATGTGACTCTTGTACAGGCCACACACTCTCTGTGGGCCGGTCAGGTGGCCCAGCTTGTGGACCTGGGCTCACAGTGCGCCAGGCGCAGGCCAGCCCCCACAGTGCAGGGAGGACATGTGTCACCCACTGATTTCCTTCCTGTCCAGCAATCGTCTTTTTGGTGCCCACTCACTCATATGTTCTGACGGCCTGTCGTTGGTCTCCGTTACCAGGGTGCGTGGCTGCAAACAGATGAACACGCTCCAATGTGCACGCCACGTTTACCGGACGGAAGGCATTCGCGGCTTCTATCGGGGATTAACTGCCTCGTATGCGGGAATCTCAGAAACTGTCATCTGTTTTGCTATTTATGAAAGTTTGAAGAAGTATCTGAAAGACGCTCCATTAGCCCCCTCTACAAATGGGACTGAGAAGAATTCCACAAATTTTTTTGGACTCATGGCAGCTGCTGCTGTGTCAAAGGGATGTGCCTCCTGTATCGCCTATCCACACGGTATGTGCTGCTTTCTCTCCCAGAGCAGTGAAACAGCTGTCAGGTTGTGTCATTTGTCAGTGTACATAGAGACCCCTGGAGCCAGTTGAAATGCAGGCGCCGGCAGGTAGTGATGGAACCAGCCCAGGTGCATCTGGCCTCCCCCATGTGTATGCATGCACAAGCTGGCTGTGTGAGTGGCAGGAACTTGGTGACACTCAGCCCCAGCTGCTGTACCCAAAACTTGCTGTGCAGAATGTGGGCCTTGTGTTGTAGAACTTCTGATGCTTTCAAGAAGCCAAAAATCTGGATTTTATTTAAAAATCTCTCGATTTAAAAAAAAATGACATAGGAGCCAAACTCTAAAAAAAATCAGCTTCCAGTTTGAATGGAATGCTGAGTAAAGCTACTTTGGGGTTTATTTTTTAAAGAATTATAGGCCTCATGTCCTTCTGACCTACTATTAAAAGATAGCTTTGTTTACTGTGCCACAAAAAAAAGGTTTTTTCAGAAGCCTACTGTACTGTCAGCTATGACAAATGCACATGGTGAACTCAGTAACAGGTAGATGAGTCCCCTGGGTGAGCCAGAGCCCTCAGGGGCCTCAGGGCTCATGGGGAAGTGGTCAGGCTGGCCCCCTCATCGTAGGCAGGCAGAAGCGTGGGCCTAGGTGAGGGGGGCCAAGTGCGCCAAGGTTTGAAAAGGAAGGAGGCCGCGTGTAAGCTGGACAGAGTGGAGGATGCTGGGAGGAGAAAGGTGGGGAGGGCATGAAAAGAGTCTTGTGGAAGGTATTACTTAATACACATTTCACCTTCTGTGAAATTACAGTGTTTGCTTAATGTGAGTAGAAAACCATAAACTATAAAATTAATTCCCATTCAAGCTAAGCTTTTTTTTTTTAATATTTTTTAGAGAGGGAAAGAAGCATCGATTTGTTGTTCAGTTTGTTTATGCACTCATTGGTTGCTTCCTACATGTGCCCTCATTAGGGATCGAACTCACAACCTTCACATATCGGGACGGTGCTCTAACCAACGGAGATACCCGACCAGGGCATCTATTGAGATCTTAACATGGTTTTTTATTTTAGGTGGCAAATAGGCAGAGGTATACACTGACAATTATAAAGCTGTGTGCGTTGAAGTCTCTCCTCATATTGCCTGGAAATGCAACTTATTTGTCACATAAAGTATGTGTTTCTCTCTACAGAAGTCATAAGGACGCGGCTCCGGGAGGAAGGCACCAAGTACAAGTCTTTTGTCCAGACCGCTCGGCTGGTCTTCCGGGAGGAAGGCTACCTTGCCTTTTACAGAGGACTCTTTGCCCAGCTCATCCGGCAGATACCGAACACAGCCATCGTGTTGTCCACCTACGAGCTGATTGTGTACCTGTTGGAAGACCGTCCTCAGTAACCTAAGGCCAGAAAATTGTGATCTAGAAGAATAAAACTGAAAAACTCAGTAGAGAATTTCTTTTCCATTGATGTTTAGAATGCTCGAGACTGACACAGGAAAGGCCATAAAAGACGTGGCTCGTGTCACCTGTTGGACATTTCCTTTTGGATTCATGTATTCTGGAAGGTTTAAATTCATTAACGTTAATAGTTAATTATAATTTTTTTTAACTTAAGAGGATTCAGGACTAAGCAGCAACTAAATTAAATCATGCTATTTAATTTAAGTATAAATTTGGCTTTTGTGCTCTTTGATGTCCACTGTACTGTGAACTATAGGGCTCAGGGAAACGAGCTTTAGAAACACGGGGACCTCTGAAGTCCAAGTGCACTTGTTTCCTGATATGAGTGTCAGACCTTGCGCGGGGCAGGTAGGAGGGTCCCTGTTGGGTGGTCTCCTTTGTGCATTTCCAAGTCTCATGCAGATTGATACTCCAAGCTTTCAGGCTGCTGAGCTAAAAACAACAGTCGTACAGCGTTCTGACATTGGTTCTTTTAAGCTATACACATTTTCCTGAAGCTGTCCTTTATCCCCAGTTGGAACCAAAGGCGAGAGTTTTAAAGAACCGTTTCCCAGTGGCCTCGCTCTTGCATGTATCTCCAGAAGTTAAGCCTAGTCGAGCCTGCGTGCTTTGTAGGCGTGTTACAGTGCGGCTGGCTGTGAACATGGGATGCAGTGAGCGATGCACCCGCTCTGGGGCCTGAGCCTGCTCTCGGCCCCTACTGCTGGGAAAGAGGCGCGTGACGCAGGCTGATTGCCGCCTCCTTGGAAGGCTCACTTTTACTCTGACTAGAAGTGGTGGTGGTATTTAAATACCCTAGTTCAAAAAAATTTTTAAATCCTAGAAATGAGAAATTATGAAAATTGTAGACCCACCCTCCCATCTTAAAAGGAAATTTAGTAAAGGACAGAAAGCCAAGACAGAAGGCGGGTACGATGGATGGCCTCCCATTAGCTCTCTCACTGAACCTGGCGCATATTGTGCATTGGGCTCCCTTTCGGTGTGAATGTCAGAAAGATGACTCTAAATAACCAGTTCTTGGAGTTTCCAACTGAGTTGCACATACTCTGGTAGGGAGGCGAGGAGGATGGTTTCTAACTGTTTTTAAATTGAGTTTAATTTTGTTTCCCTTGAGTCATAAAGGAAGTTGGTTGGTGGTGGTGAGCTCTCTAGTGTAATTTGCTTCAACTTTCAACAACTTATGTAGAAGTCAAGATAAATGACATCAGTCATGCTTCAGTGCTTCCAAAATGCAGGACAATCGAGAGATTTCTATCCAGAAACTCATTGTAACGGCTGTTTGATAGTGGCACTTATCAACGTCTTTGTTTTAGTAGTCATATTAAGACCTGAATTTTTCCTCAAGGTTTTATCTAATATGAAGATTAAAAATTCGGTTGTTTAATGTTCACTAATTGGGTAAGAGAATTATTTCAAAATAATATCCACTTACACTTTCTTCTTGAATTAATAAATTTGATGTTGACCTAGTACAAGTTAGTTCTCTGCTTGCTTCTCCTGCACCAGGGCGCTGAAATGCAAGAAATATGGGCCCCAAAGGCGGGATGAGAACAGGCCGGAAAAAGTGATGCTTCCTGTGTGAAGGGGCTTGTTGGATTTTTAAGTGGGAAATGCCACTGGTTGAGCTGTTAATGGGGAAATCCCATGATTAATTTCTCTGTTCTCCACAAGCTTAGTCGTTGGGATTTTATTGTTTTTAAGTAATATAATATATATAAAAACCCTCATTGCTTACCCAGTGTGTGCCAAGCACTGTGCAAAGTGTTGTGTGTTTTCTCATTTAAGTTAATTCTGACAACCATGTGAGGCAGGTATTATCATCACATTTTACAAATAAGAGGCTCAGAGGTTTACATGACTTGTTTGAGGTCTCGGAGATGGTGAGTAATAAGCTGACCAGTAGTAGGTCTGTACTGCTTCTCCAGTAGATGAATGAAAAGTAGCGGAGGCATCTGAACCTGTGGAGTGTTCTAACTGAAGCCAAGTTCCAGCCCAGCACTGCATTCAGTTCACCTAAGGATTGGGTCCCCAAAGAGCTGCACTGGAACCAGTAGTGCCCTGACAGTCCTTCCTGTGAGTGGGTTACTGTGTAGATGCTGGATCTTCCTTGGAAAAAGGACGGTACTTAAACAGAATGTCACATGTTTAGAGGGCAGCTTCACTGCTGTTCATTCCTCTGGGTGCTCCAGACTGGTGAAAGCAGCAAGACTGCAAACGAAAGGCCTTTGCTCTGACACCCACTTCCAAGAATAAGGAGCTTCCAGTGCAGACTCTAATCACCCCCAGGTTTTGGGTGGGCTCCCTTCCCTCTCTGCAGGCAGCTTGTTGTAGATGCACTCTGCTAGGGTGTGGGACAGATTGGCCACAGGAAACCTGTCAATCCACCACTGCTACAACAATGAGAACTCGAATGGTGAGCCCCCAAAACATGGAAAAGTGGGAATACTGAAATACATTGTGTAATTAAATACAAATATTTTCTCTCTTCTTTGTTAGTAATTTAGCCAAAATCCATAATACTAGAACACATAAAATGTATCTTCCCCACTAATCCCACCTCCTGGAGGTAACTTTGCAGTTCATTTAACTGTCTTCTGCCTCCTGAAAGAATACACAGTATAGGGGTTTATTTAAACTTCAGATATCAAAGTTAATATGCATGTTGCTTTTCCTGAACAGTGTATCATCCCTCCAGGCCAATACCTACCTATAGCTCTGACATTCTAATCGTTGCATTACGTTCATGTTCAGACATAGGACTGTCCTATGATTTATTTAATCTCATCTCTATAAATATAATCATGTTTCTATAAATTATTTTTGACCACTGGAGTGGCTTGGTGGAAGTGGCTTAAGGAGCTGCAACTTGCAGCAAACCAGCATTGCGTGCATAGGTCTAGTTTGGCTAAAGCGTTGGGAAAACAGGACCAGCGGGAGCGAAGACTAATTCCAAGCAGCCCTCGATGCTAAGGTTGGCGGGCTTTGCGGGAGGGGCCTGACGAGCGCGGGAACGGAGCGCGCGGGTCAGGGTTGTGCGCCGCCTCC